ACACACACACACACACACACACACATGCACAGGAACACCGACACGAACATAAACGGTTGCCGCGAGGCCCAGCAATCCAGGCGCTCACCGGTCTGGCCGCGCTGCAGCCGGCAGCGCAGCTGCACCGGCAGCCCCAGGGTGCGGGCGATGCCGAGGCTGTCGCGCTCCGCCTGGATGCGGGGCAGGATCCACCTGGGGCGGCCCGGGATGTACCGCATCACATTTACCGTGTGGGGGGGCTCGCCGGGCTCAATGGAGGGCACCTGTTGATGACGAGTGATGAGTGCGAGGACGCCGCTTGATCATGAGTGTAGTGTTGATGCTGTCGACAGCCGCGCGGAGGAAGGCCTTAGCCGGGTGATGAGCTGGCCCGGATGCTTGGGCAGTGGCTTGCGGCAAGCTGCACCCCTGGTGCTTGCGATCCCTGGTATTTGCCATTTTGGCACCCCAGCAGGCCTGGAGTGGGGCTCATGTGTCCACCAGGCATCAGACACACATGAGGCATCAGAGGCCACAGAGGCACCAGAGGCGGCAAGCCGCGTCTCACGGCAGCCGAGCCCTGGCATGCAAGGAAGGACGTCGTCTGCTGCCGTGGCCCCGCGCGCCCCGCCCAGCTCGCCCACCTCCAGCGACGCATTGAACCAGCAGCCGTGCTTGCGCAGCGTGTGCTTCACCTTGCCCAGCGCCACCACCCTCCCCGTCACCGCCACCAGCTGCGAGCCGGCCGCGTCCAGCGCGGACAGGTCGATGGAGGGCGCGTACTCCCGCACCTCGCGCGGCACGTACAGCAGCACCTGGGAGGGTGGGGTCGTAAGGAGGCGGGGGGGACCGAGGGAGCTGGGTGGATGTGCAAGGAGAGAGGGCCACCCCTGCATCCAAGGGAGATCTATTGACACCTGAGCTGATGGCACGAATCTGTTGATGCAGCCAAAAGTCCGCGCATCAGAGGGCGGCGCGGGCACTAGTGACGACGCAATGTGCGCACGGCCGCCAGCCCCTGCCTTCGCCGGCGCTGCGCGGCCCACGGGCGCGCGGACACAGCCGAACATCATCGACCTCTTTGGCCCCCTGCAAGACCAACGCGGCAAGAACCACACTATTTTCAAGCCCCGCGCCCCTCCGCGGACCCAGCTCGCCTGCAGCAGCGTCCCCAGCTCCGCCGACGCCAGGGACTCCAGCTGCTGCTCCGTGAACGCGCCGCCGCCGCCGCCCCCGCGCGCCCCCACGTCCTCGACGAGCCGCGTGAACGGCAGCCACGCGTCCGCAAGCGCCGCCGCGTCGAAGGACGTGTCGACCGCAGCCGACGACAGCGCCTCAAGGCCCCTGGCAACCGCCGCCTCGACCGCCGCGGGCGGGACGCCGAGCGCCCAGGGCCGCGGCGAGCCGGGGCCGGGGCCGGCGGCAGCGTTGCTGTCGGGCCCCGCCGATAATGACTCAGCGTCTGAAGACCACGCGGCTGCGGCGGCCGCGGCGGCGTCCTCGTCGTCAGACCGGCCGTCGGTTGATGAGGGGCCAGGCCCTGCCGAAAATGTGGTGGCGGTGGTGGCCGCCGGCGCTGAGGCGGGCAGGGAGGCGGGGCCGGGCGCGGGGCAGAGAGCGGCGGCGCCGCCTGCTGGCCGGGCTGCGGGCTTGCGGCTGCGGCGGATCGGGGCTGGGGCCTGCGTGCAGGCCGTGGCAGGCGCCGGCATGGGCGCCCCGGGTGCCGCGGCAGTGCGGGCCTCTCCAACGGCCGTTGGCTCGAGCGCCTCCGCTGCTAGGGGCGCGGCGGCGGCCTGGCGGCCCTGCCCCTTCTGCGCCTGAGTCTTGTCGTCGCCCCTAAAAGTGGACGTGGTGGGGTTCGGCTTGGGTGCTGGCGTGCGAGCCCGCCGACACAGGAGAGCGCAGAGCGAGCGCGTTGCTGGTCGGCGGCCACGGCCTCAGCTGCGGCGGGCCCCATGCCGCCAGGGTGCGGGCACCGCCGCGGCGCAGGCCTGGACGACTGCTGGTGAGCCTCCCATAGGGCCCTGACAGCAGCGCACAGCCCCGTCCTCCCCAACCGCCCTTCTACATGCACGCCACCCCCATTGCACACACAAACACCCACATGCGCGCGCTCACACGCACACGCACACGCACACGCACACACACCACACCATACCACACCACACCACACCAGACACGCACGCACGCACGCAATCACGCTGCACCCCGCTCACTTCGGGAGGGATGACAACTCCCCGGCAAAGCGCGCCTCGGTTCTCATCAGAGCCTGCAGCACACCCTCTCGCTTGGCATCGCCGCCGCGGCCGCCGCCGCCCACCGAAGGCCACATGCCAGCCAGCTGGTCAAACACGTCGATGTTGACCTTCACGTCAGCCATGGCCCTGGCGAATGTATCGGTTGCGGCGGTCGCGGCGGTTCTGAACGTCGGGATCTTGCGAGTCAAGGCCCAAGGTGGGGTGGCGGCTGGCCTGCCTCCGCATCAGACAGGCTATGAAGAGGGCACGCGCCAGCGCCAATTAGTTGTTTGGGGGGGGGGGGTGCCCGCGCACACCTGTGCGC